ATTTGCTCTTTTTCTCAAGGATACTGACCAGTGCCTTGCTAAGGTACCAAGCATTGGAAAATTTTGTGATTACACACACACACACAAGTTTTTCCTTTAGTGGTAGTGGAAAATATGTCTTCAGTTATTTAATTTTTTTGAGTTGATTCATAAGTAGAGGACTTTCTGTTATTTTTCTCTAATTATTTGATGATTAGTGCATGCATCCAATCTGTTTCTGCTTCTCTCATTCCCTGATTTTCAGAGTAATAAGCCTGTCTAGCCCCTTCTTCAGTTTCTGCCCTTGAACAAGGGAAACTTCCTTATTCCTTACTCAGAAAGGTTCTTTAGTTGTTTTGGTCCCATACTCTGTCACTAAACGTGCCCCTCTAGAAAGACCCATAGCCCAGTGTATTTTTTTTCCTTTGGTAAGTTAATTTTTACAATATATTGTTGCATGTTGTACTTTTCCTCATTTTTTATTTATTGGATGTGTACTTTAATGATGATCTCCTATCACTGTAAACTCCAAAGTTTTTGTGAGCTTAAAGTGAGTAAGTGTTCCACGTGTTTTCAGGTTTAATTCATTCATGAAAATCGATGGCTAAATCAAAAGACCTCTTATTGACCATGCGTTGTGTGCCAGTAGACAGTTACTGTCCATCAACTGATATGCAATAACTTGTTCCTTTGCAGTCAGTTCCTTTGTATTTGCTTCTACTTTTCTGTAAGTTTTTTTTCATATTCAAGCCAAGATTTTAAAATATCAGATGAATCCATTTGAGATTTTATAGCAGCACCTTGCACATTCGGTGGGAGTTTTTCATGGTTAGTGCTAAGGAGATAGTATTCAAGAAACACATGATGTTGTATTGGTCAGTGTACAAATATAATTAATACAACCTTACTGCATAATTTCGTGAAGCTTTAGTAATTTACTGTTGTTTATCTGGTTTGTATGTACATATACCTAAGGGAAAGAAAAGGTTTTAAATGTTTTTTAAAAGGCATCATAAGGGGTATTAGCTATATGATGTATATTAACAGATGTTAGTGCTGCTTAGGACAACAGAAGCTTCATTTTTGTCTTTTCCTTCATCAAAGGAACAGAAACATTTCTATCATAAGCATTATTCAGTTTATATTTTTTTCTCTGTGTTTTGCTAAAAAGAAAGAAGAAAAATAAAGAGCTACCTGATCATTTTTAAACATTGTATGTATGTTATACTTGAACATGTTTTATTATTGTTATGGTGTGATAATTGTTAAAAGTATGGTACTGCTTCATTTAGAACTAAAAAAAAAAAAAAAGCAAAGATGACTACAATATTAAGATGGTTTTTAATAAAGACAATCATTCTTTAGGTATAGTATAAAATGTATAGTATAAAGTGTAATATAAAAAAAAACTAAAAAGGAAGAAAATGCTTCTGTCAGGGTCACTTAATTCAGCTGCTTCTGAAATAGCTTAGTTTGTGAAAACCTACTCCAGTGTTTTTTCAATAAGCAATGTCTTGTTATGATGGCAAGTAAAGCATCACTTCTACCTCTTTTTTATCACTAGTATTAAGGGAAGGGAGTAGATTTGTTCATTGATGAGCAACATGTTGCCATTGCAATTTTGAAAGTCTTAACTCATACTCTTTCCTAGCAGTTTATTTAAAAGACAAAACAACCCACCTTGTTGTCACAGAGGTTGACATGTCAGATGCAGTCTGGCTGTTGAATCACTCCACTGCCGTTACTCCAGTGCAGCACTAATGTAATCTTACTTCCCTTCTTTATGAAAGAAAACTTTATCTTAGATCTAATTTTCTGGAAAGAAAATTTATTTCTTTTTGTATTGGCTATAAAATGAAGTTGAACACTAGGGAAAATGTGTGTAAATAAGGAAAAATGAATGGATGCCAGCTGCTCCCTTTCGTTCCTGATAAGATTTTTAGAATTGATGTTGTTTTCTCTTTATGATGCATGAATGCTAATGTATTGACCAGGAACCCTTTTCTCTGTAAGACATCTAAGCTTTCTACAAATATTTGAAACATTTGAAACTCATGCACTGATCTCTGAATAGTCACTGGACTCTCATGGAGGTTGATGACAAGAGACTCCTCTATGTTGTAATGGAATCCAGAACACAGTAAGAATCTGTTCTTACCTTCTCCCCATCACAGCTGTAGGTGAAATGACTCCTCTGCTCTCTGGAAGGAAGTTGGAGCATGTCCTGTTTTAATACCATGTTTCAACATACTGTACAGACAGTAACAGAAGATAAGACAGCACAGATATTCTTCCTGAATTTCAGGATTCCTTTTCCTTAATTTTTTACCTGTCTTAATTCTTTATCTTGTTTCAAGAGAAGATAGCAAAGCCAACCTTGATTTGAGAGGAATCTTACACCCTCTGGGATGGTGAAACTCATGCCTCACGTCAAAAGTAGTTAAGAAGTCTTTTTGTTTCTTGTTATATTAGTCAACATCTCTGTAAACTAAGGCTAGAACATGAGTTTGAGTGCTATCAGACAGTTATCTCTACCCTTGAATGACTGGCATGCCCATGGCATGGTTTTGGCCAATGCCTGTGAGCACTCCCTGAGCTACAGCCCAGAGCATGTATATGGCAGGGCAAGGGACTGTGCACAGGAGTCATACAGATAAGACTAACAGGATTGAGTGGGAAGGTTTGTCTGTGGGGGCACGAGAACCACCACTCTCCTTCTGGCATGTTTTATTTATGACTGTACATGTAGCTACGCAGTCCATTCCACAGCATGAGAAATGGATGAGAAGTTTACTGAAGAAGAGGTCATTTGAGTAGAAACACTTACTTCACTTATTACTTTGGTCCCTCCAGAAGCCTTTTTGACAACAACAGGGGTGGCCAAAACTGATATTCTCCATGTTTTTCATTAGGCATTAGTCTGTGTTCTCCATTAGCTTCAACAACCAGCAGTCCCTCTGCATCACTACTGGAAATTACTGTACTGGTAGCTTTTCTGTGTGTCATCCATCCTTGTGGTGTTAAGTACTGCCTGCAATAATAACTGGGCTGAAAAACCTTAATCACTAGCACAGTATTTGGCAAGTTAGTTCATATAGATTAAAAGGCCCACAGCAAACAGAAAAACCTCACATCTGTACGAGAATCAGGAGTAACTTTGCTATTTTTATAATAAAAATCTTAGTGTGACCAGTATGATTTTTTTTTTTCATTTAAATGGATCCCACAAGCATGATATATATGGTGTTTGTGTGTTGGGAACACAAGCATTTATTTTGTACAGACATATGATTGTATTAGGTTTCTAAATTACTTACAGCACTATCAGCAGAAGATATAGGCTTTGTGATAAGATTTGTGCACATAGTGGAACTGTTTTAAAAATCAAGGGGTCTGTTTCAAAACAAAGCTAAATGGAGAAGGTCATGCAAGCTTTCCTTTGCGGAAGTGTGGAGTTTTCCAACCACTACAGACCAGTTTCTAAGCTGCCATTTTACACTCAGTTATTTGTCATGTTGGGTGTCAGTGTGTGCGTTCTGGCTCCCTCCAGAGCGAGTGTCAGGTTCTGACTTTGTAATTCAGGTGTAATCAAGTTCCTTGTCTTGGGGCCTGCACAAAGATCAGGAAGACTTGATGCATATTCTGTCAAATCTGGCAGTTGTTAAGAGTTTTAGCACAATACAGGTTGAGCTGTTCATAGCACGAAAGAATTGGGTGCAAGGGGGTACAACGTCATCTCAGCTCATGGTTTTTCTCCATACAACCTGCACCTCAATGTTTTCAGTTAGGATTTTCATCATGTGTCTCTGTATGTCTAATAATGTCTAAAATTAATGGAGGAGAGTGGAGGAGGCACCTTTCATAAGTAACATTTCATCTCCCTGAGGCCCCAAACCATGAGTGTCTGACCTGGCTGCAGCATGGGCCACAAGGCAGCCGTGCTAGGGCACATTGGCCCTCTGGGGCCATGTCTTCTCCTCACCAGGCTTAGTGGCAGCAGAGTGGGCGCTGTCCTGCGGTACGCGCGTGGTTTGCCTTGCAGAGAAGGGTTAAGATGAAATTAAATAGGCAAGCAGAACAGAAACGAAAGCGGATTTCCTCCAGAAATAAGAAAAAAAAACCCTTGCCATCTTGTCAGCACATCCTCTTCAACATTGAAAGCAGCACTAAAACCTTTCAAGGTGCAAAACATTAGAAAGCCAGCATCCCTCCCTAGACATTTCATGGGCAGGATTGCACGATTTTTCTCAGTTCATGAAAACTTAAAAACCCCCACCACAAAAGCCACTTCATCTCCCATTTAATAGGCTTGGTTCTGTTTCTTTATATGAAGCTTCTAAATTTTAGAGCATTTCACAAGATCTCTTGCTGCAGCTTTTGAGCCTCGAATTAAATTGGGATTCATTAATACATTTACAAAAGGGAAAGAGAAGAGAATACAGTAGAGGTGTGCTGGGGACAGACTAGAAGAAGGACCTAGAGCACAAATACATAACAAACCGACTGTTATTTCTGACTGGTATGACTAGTTTTCACATAGTGGTAAATTTTAGCTCTGGAGACTTTGTGGGCAATAGAAGTATTTACAGTGAGTTTCTATATGCTGAAGTTAGGCATTTTGGTAGCAACATGTAATTTTGGAAAATGTGATACTCCCACCATAAGTCATCAGGCAAATTCCCTACTACTAATTAAGTAATGGAGATAATTGCCTTATTTTTTTTCCTAAAAATTGTTTTAATTTTAAAATTAACAACCATTTGTAACTAAGCAGGACTACCCTGTCTTTCTTTTACAAGTACGGGTTTTGGAACCATGTGTGCAGGTTTTTGTGGTTGAGAGAGCTTTGCTGACTTGGAGATGTGTTTGTTTCTGTTTGTATGAACAACAGCAGTTTTCTGAGTATTTTGAGTCTGAAAATAACTAAAGAGAGTTGGTTTATTTTAATGCCAAAGATTTCTTAAAAATAAAGGATAGTTACCTGAATATTAATTTTTGCTTTGGCCGTTTTCTCCCTTTAGGTTTTATGGCAGGCATACAGAGGAACCCCCAAATGTCACAGTATGGACCTCAGCAAACTGGACCTTCCATGTCACCACACCCCTCACCTGGAGGCCAAGTGCATCCTGGAATGGGTAGCTTTCAGCAGAGTAATTCAAGTGGTACTTATGGGCCTCAGATGAGCCAGTATGGACCACAAGGTAAAATGCTCACTGGTAATAGATATGATAATTTTTTTTTTTTTTCCAGCCTATAGATGTATCATGTACTTAGGTGGGTGATTTCTTAAAAACAACAAAAACCACACACACAACACACTCTCTAAAAAAAAAATCCTAAACAAATAAAGCTGTCATATGAAGGTGGAGCTGCTGCACCTTGTGGAAGAAGTTGTTCCTATTATTAGCACCTTCCTCTGCATAAAATTAGTGACCTTAAATTAGGCAAGGGAATCATGAATCTGTGGCATTGCCAGTTCTATTGTTTAGGAGCCCAAGCATGTCATCTATGTGATGAGGCTGCGTTTGAGCAAGCAAGGAATAAGGGTCACAACACTGTTCCCAAAATAGGACTTCTTTTCTTGGATGAAATCCCAAGGCCAACCTGAAATTGCATGGTAACTGTGAGGGTAAAGTCTTCTAACAAGCATAATAATACAGTGGCTACTGTGGAAATAGAGTATTGAGCTCTAATGCATATGGTTTGTGAATCTTAACTAACCCTTCAGACTGAGAGAGGCCGTTCCTTTTATTTTGCTTGTTTGACAGAATTGGTGAGGGAGTAAAACAAAAATAGAATACACAGTTTCTGCCCCTGGACAACCTTGAACTTGTCTATTGTTTTGCCTTTAATGGATAACCTTTATAAAGTATGCATCTGTTTAGGGGTTTAATGAAGTTGAAGTCAAGCCATGGAATATATAATGGGCTGTATTTTCTTCAAAGGTACATAAAGAAGCTTTTCGATTTCAGCGCTTCCTACTATTGCTTTCTTACTTAAAAGCCTCAAAAAGGACTGGTGCTAGCAGTGGGAGTTTCTGTAAGGGCTTGATGACTTGCCCATGCTAGCAAGGAGGGTTATTTTAGTCTCCAGAGTTTCTGAGAACTAGTTCTGATGTTTGTTTGCAGGGAGCCTTGCTGCCCTGTGTAATGTTCCTTTCTCTTCCGTCTCTGGATAGCATTTGGTTTAGTGTTCTGAGCAGAGGGCTACAAGCCAACATTTCCCAGTTTCTGATTTTGGCTCTGCCTTTTACATCATCTTTCAGCTTAGGCAAGTAGATTCATTTCTCTGCTTCGCTTTCCGTAACTGTAAAATGAGGCTAGTAATGCCTTATAGCTATGTGTGAAGATTAATTACCTAACTCCAGTTGACTGGTGCTTTCCTTTTATTTGGAAACCATTTTGTGGCCGTAAAATGTTGTCCAAGTGCTTATTTTTATCCGCACAGTGAGCAACTAGCTTAACTGGTAAAAACTCCAGTGGATTTATGATGTGCTGTCCTGACTTCCAGCTGTACTGCTGCTGCTGAGATTCCAAACCATGGGAATAGTGGGTGTCAAGTGCAGTAAAACATTAGCCATCCACACTGATTGAATGGAAGGGTTTTTGTACTAAATCAATGCATTTAAGTAACACGCCAAATACTACTTTCTTTTTTGCTTGAGTTCAGCAGTTCTTTTCCTCCCTCTGTAGATGAAAGTGCCTGTGTAATGATTTTATGGGTCATGGTCAGGAAGAAACTGCTATTAAAAAGTGAACTTGAGGGACAGGAAGAAAATGAGCATCATTGTCATTAACAGTCCGTTTCAGAAGGGTTTGGTGAATAGTGTGATGGATGAAAAGTGTGTTCTTCTGCCAGCTCTTAGAAAATACTAGTGATCCTGTGCATGGTCATCATAAAATTAAGAGCCTTGCAGACTTTCAACTCTGTAGGTAACAATTAGACTAAAAGAATACTACATTTTCACCAGGCTAATCTGACCATTAATAAAATCCAGGGATGAAGATGATGATATTTACAAGTCACGTATTTACCTGAATTTAAGTTTTTAATAGCATTTTTTTATTTTTAATGAAAGTAATCTGTAATTGCAACTCTTAATATACCCTCCTACAAAGCACAATCATATGCCAGCAATGATGAATATATAGTAATGTTACCTCATTTGCCTTTTACTGCCAAAATAACAAATATGTCAAAATTACCTGGGTTGCACCCAAGTTTTAAATTATTAAAGTCATTCTCAAGGATCTGATTTGTTTTCCACGTTTTGTTCACATAGGCCTTCCGCCAGAGCATTGTTAAGCACAGGCTGAGTTTGAGAGGGCTACTTGTATTTTTATATCTGGACACTAAGCTTTTGATCCAGCTCTGAATGCTGGATTTCACTATGTGCTGTCTTGAAAACCGTTGCTCAAGGCTAGTGTCCTCTAGTGCAGTGGAATTGCTCACCGTAGTAAGACTGCACCAATAGGTTTGGATTGGAAGAATTGGCCCCCAGTTCATGAGAGCAGAATGATCCATTTCATGCCTATGGTTGATTTATTTGATTTTCATGTGTTTACATGACACTTAGATCTATAATAAGAACAGAATATATTTTCCCAGGAAGCAGTTCTGTACTGGGGACCTAGTCCAATTTTGTGAAACAGTTTCCTACAAAAATAATAAATGGCTTTGGCTCCACATTTTTTATGTCTGGGATACAAAACAGGGGCATGCAGTACAGAACATTAGTTTTAATTTTTTATTAAATCCCAGCATTTTCCTGTCCTCAAGAGTAAAAAACAAAAGCAGAGCAAGAAGGTAAGTTTTTACTGAAAGAAACAGTCTTTGATTTGTATTTGGACAGCATCTAGCTCAGGGGTTAATGAAGCTCTGGTCTATAACCTGAGCATCAGACTGCTGCCACAGCAAAATGTCCCTTAAATGCACTCTGGAGAGCAGTTAGATGCTGTAGTCAGTTGGATCTTTTAAGGCTGGGGCAGAGAAAAACTTCCTGTGAATCAGTAGAACATCTCAGAAATGCATCCTGTCTCCCTAACTTTTCCTACTCAATTCAGTAGTAAAACTGTTCTGTTTGAGTATAACAAAGAGAGATATCACTACTGAGTATGTTTGAACCACAACCCCAGAACTTCACAGTAAGTTATACCCCCTTTTTTAATGGTAAAGTAGTATGAATTGAGTATTTGTGCTTTGCAACTTTCAATGCTGGACTCACTTCACAATAGCATTTTGCTATCTAGCTCCCACTGATTTTAATCCTAGATTTTAATTAAAATGTTAGCATCTTAAGGATGAGATTCCCTAAGTATCTTCGGAGTCTGGACCACTGAATCCAGACCCACATATGCAACAGCCTGTGGAGTTAAGACTTACATATCAACTATATCTTCTGAAGTCCCCCAGGTAAAACAGTTCAGGGGAATTCAGAACAACATGTTTAAATTTTCTGTACAAGAAAAACTCGATGGTTAAATGCACATGTAAAAAATTCTAAAATTATTTTAAGATACTGTTTTTAGTACTGTGAATCTGACCTATGTCTCTAAAGCAGAAAGCAAAGCTTGCAGTCAGTTCTCAAATTTCCCTCTTTTCAGTTTGCCTAGAAATGGCAAGATATCAGAGCACTTTGTTCAGCAAACCTGAACAAAGTGGACCAGAGTTTCAGCAGTAAGTATGAACATCTGTCTTTGGCAGGTTGTTAGTCAGCGTTTTTTTTACTTTATCTTCATTACACTTTTTTTTCCCCTCCCGATTCCAGTTATTGCTTTGGTTTTTCTCATGCATTTGAGATGTTGTCTCTCTGGGTACAATTCTACTTTGCCAAGAGGGAGTTGGAATCAAAAATCCCTTAGATATGGAGGGGAGGAGTTGTTCAGTGGTATTGTACAGCCACTGTTGCCAGGCTTGTACCCACTTGAAAAGTGTGGGCTCTTGGACTTGGCTGCCTGACACGTCCAGCTGATGTGGGCTGGCCTAGCATCTGCTGCATTCATTGTGTTTAATGCTGCATCCATCTGTTTTCTGTCAAAGCCACTGCCAACAAATTACTAATCTATTAGAGAAACATGGAAATAAGATTGCGCTCCTCATTCCTGGCAATTCCTCTTGTATTTTGTTTGGCTTTTATTTTGCGCTTTTTTTTTTCTTTTTCCTTTTTTTTTTTTTTTTATCTGAAAGGTATGAGAATAGCTAGTACTTGAGGTATTGAGGAAATACTTAGGGGGAAAAAAACACGGAAAAAACATAGAAACTTGTTTTCCTTACTGAAAAGATGATTTCCCTGTACTCTTGGATGTGTATCCCTGGAGATGAATGATTAGGAGCTATTTTAACTGAGCCACGTATTTTTATGGAGAAGATTCCACTGTTTTTTCTCTGTTGTGCTTATACTGGAAAAGCCAAAGCATGAAAGAAGAGATTTTCTATCCCAATTCAAAATAGCATCAAAACAGCAAGAGTGTTCAGCATTGGTGTCTGCTCCTCCAAGCATGCTGTCGAACTGTACTTCGTAGACCCTAAATGACAAAACAAATTGGCTTTATGTAAATTGGACTGACAGTAGCTCCCAGTGATTATGGTTATCAGGTCTGCTAGTCTAGGGAGGGAATTTGCCTCACTTTGGGTGCTGTTACATGTACATAAGATGCATTAACTGGCTGTGCCTAATCTTTGAGTGCACAAATACACCATCTTGCTGCATTACATTTTTCTTGCGCAAAGCAGCTGGAAAACCAGAGCAACATCCAAGTTGTATGCTACGCCTGTAACACATAGAGCAGTATGAAACTAGTCAACCCTTCTGTGTGCAGTCACATATGTAGGATCAAAAGCATGACTTAAGCAGGTCTCAGCAAGCAAAACTCTGTCTGGGGGCAATGGCTCGCTGAGCAGAGAATAGTGAGCTGCCAGCGGTCAAGCCTAGAAGAGGAGAAGAAGTGACAGGGCAGTCTGAAAACAGCATAAAGCTGAATCTAGAGCCTTTCATCTTTGTTGAACCACATATTGAGAATCCTTCTAGGAGGACCCCCAGGTGGAAACTTGGTTTTTAAAACAGAAGAGAATGGTTGTTCCACTTCCTTGGGAAGCATAGGTCTCACGCCTTCTCACCGAGGAGATCTTGTAGCAGAGTGAGTCAGTTACAGGGTGGGGAAGAGGAAGATTAGCCAAAGTACAGCAGCAGGAGCATATTAGTTAATTATGTGTGCATTCAAATGATGGATGAATATATTTATTTTAAATATAAACAGGAGTTGCATGCCACCAACTCCTCTGCCTGGTAGCTGAGGCCTGAGGAGAGACATGGCTGATATCCACGTTCAGAGGAAGAGTCCAACAGCTTCTGCCTTCAAATGAGCGTGGGAATATCTGAGAGTATTCAGGAAACTCTGCTCTGTGGCATCCCACAGGGAGGGAATGGGTCGTGTTTCCACTATTCTGGATGAGATGGAAATGAAGACAAGTCAAAACTGATGACTGTGATCCATTTCCTAAAATAGTTTTCTATCATATCTTAAGCTTTCTTTTTTTTTTCTCTTTCTCATGCTGCTTGGGTTTGTTTCTGTAACACTGCATACTGTAAACTCACCTTTTCTTGAGATTTCAACATGACAGGAAAATCAGCACTCAAACGAGTTAAGGTGCTGCAAGTGGAGCACTTACTCTAGTGACAACATAGATTGAGGTCAGCCAGGTTTTCATGCCATCCTTCATAAGGCACCTGCTTATATTAGCATCTTTGTACTATTGCTGATTACTCATGTTAATACTAGTTTTCCCAGAGAAGGTGCACTGTAAGCTACCACCCCTTCTGCTGGCATAGCCAAACTGAACTTACCAGGAAGGCAGGATAGGGCAGGAGGGAGCGAGAATCTTTCTTGGAGCCCAGCAGCCATCCTCACCAGTCCATGCCAAATCATCTCTGACACAAATGGGCAGAACAGTTAGGAGCAAGAAGCCTGTTGCTGAAATTGGCAAAAGACAAAGGAATGAGAACATGAAATTACAAAAATAAGATTCTTCCTTGAGCTTATGTAATAGGCTCCTTACATGCCACGTCCCTCTTTACTGCAGAAGGGGGTTGTGTGCTGTGTGCTGTGCTGTTAACCCTCTGGAGGCTGTGCTTTTCTGTATTTGTTGTTGCCTCATAACACATATGAGACAGAAAATGTTTGAGGGTACCTGAAAATCAGATTCATAAGATCATTCAGGTTGGAAGAGTGCTCAGGTCTTATTATTGGCTGACCTATTCAAATTAGTGTCAGATAAAGAATCAGAGCAGGTTAGTCTTGGCTTTATCCAACTGAGTTTTGAAAACCTCCAAGCAGGGAGTCTGAGTAACCTCCTTGGGCAGCTTGTTCCACTGCTTGTCTGTCCTCAATGTAAAAAAATTGTCTCGACTTTGAGGCCAGCATGGTTCACTTTAGTTCACATGCATAAGTTCTGCAGCTGTTTACTTCCTAAACAGAAATATTTGCTCAGAAGTTTTAATGTTTTTCTCTGTGCTTTTATCATTTTGTTCAGGAAACTACTCCAGACCACCGACGTACAGTGGTGTGCCCAACACAAGTTACAGTGGCCCAGGACCTGGCATGGGTATAAATGCCAACAGTCAGATGCATGGACAGGGGCCAAGCCAGCCTTGTGGTACCATGCCCCTGGGACGGATGCCATCAGCTGGGATGCAGAGCAGACCATTTCCTGGAAACATGAGCAGTATGACCCCCAATTCTCCTGGCATGCCTCAGCAGGGAGGCCCTGGGATGGGCCCACCTATGCCAACTGTGAACCGTAAGGCACAGGAGGCAGCTGCTGCAGTGATGCAGGCTGCTGCAAACTCCGCTCAGAGCAGGTATGCCTTCAGGTGAAAGGAGTTTAAATAAGTAGGAATGTTTGTCGTTTCTGAAATAATCGCATTGTATAGGCCTGTGAATATGCATTTATACATATTCTAGCTGTGCCCTTATCTCTGGGAGGAGATAATGTGTGGGAAGAATACTTTTCCTTAAACATAAGGGGAAAGCATGTTGTTGTGTGTTTGAATTATTCTCCCGAAAAGCAGCTTTGACAATGGAGATGATGGCCACTTCCAGCTTTGTTCTTGGCACTGCAGGCTTTAGGAAAACCAGCAGGATTGCAGTGACATTAGGAGTCAAAAACAAGCCCTCTGCAACTTCAAATTGATTAGCTGGTTATATTTTTTTTATCTCCAGTAAAGAGGGGGCCTTGACATGTCCTTGACAGCTTGCCTCTGCTATAGAGTAAGGAAGCTTATGAATCTGCCCATCAGCTCATGCATTTACTACCCACATATTGGGCAGCAGTGCTGTTGCGGTTCTCCTCTGCAGGACATTCTTGTTTGTAGGCAGGCATGCAGAGGGGGAGAGGAGGGCAGGCTGAGGAGAACAGCTGGAGGGGAAAGGCAGAAGGAGAAAAGCAAGCTGTAGTTATCTGGAGTTGGTACCTGCCACTTGTGCATCCATAAGAGAGAACCTGCAAACAGGATTGTAGAGACTGGAGGCATCATCTCTCTTCTTGTCTTCCCTTTGAGCATTGTTGCTGTTTGTACATGGATGTATGTCTGTCCATGCTTGTTTTTAAGATGCCTGAATACTTGCAATTAAATTAGATTTTCTGTGAAATTTTTCAGATTAAGTAATTTCCACATTTCTCTAGACTCAAATAACTCCTGGCATATTTATTAGCTTTTTCTCTTGCAAGAAGTTCCATCATATCTGAGAATTACACAAAACTAGTTGGACTCTTCTGGTGAATGTTTATATGTGTGTGTATTACACATCTTGCACTTATGCATATGTGTACACAGATGGGCATATACTCATACAGGTATTTATTATTCAAGATGCAATGTAAAATAAGAAATAGGAAGCTAACGTGTCCCTGTATTTGTTGCTTTCTTGTTTTGCGAGTGTGGAAGGCAGGTGGCTACTAGTGATAAGCAGCAGCAAACTTTTAAAACAATAACAGTAAATTTAGTGTACTTCATGTTCTTGTTCAGTAAAATAAAAACAGACTCCCTTAAAATAGACCATGCTCCAGCAGATATCTGTGAACCAGCAGTCTCTTGCTTCTGTTGCTTAACAGACCTGCCTAGTAGGATTTATGGAAGTCTGCTTCTGTCTGTCTGGTTTAGGCTATAAGCTGATAGGTCAGGCACGAAGGAATAAATAGGCCATCACTGTAGCTGTAGGAGCAGGATTTCTGTATAATCGCAGAACGAAAGGTAAAGCTCACGTTTGTTGGTCTTGACAGCAAGAAAAGACTTTGTGTTAAGTGAAAAGAATTTGGTTGTGATTCAACTTACACACTGGGCATAGTGTGTGGTGTTTGATCAAAAACTAGGTTAAATGATTACCATTCCTATCTCACACCTTCCTGCCAAGTCAGTTTGTAAAACTGCTTTTTGTTTTTAGCTTTGCCTGGACAAAACTGCGCTGTTTCAGAGCCTTCCCATCACACGTTGGCAATTCCAGTGATCCAGCACCTGTGGAAAGGGCTGAGGAATCACTGAAGCTCTATTGCGAATACTGGCAAAAGGGCTATTTATAAACTGCAAATTGAGAGAAACTTGTCACACTGCTCTGATGTCAGTAGGTTGCAAACACACTCTTTGATCTCAAGTCAACTGTAGAGGAGAAAGCGTAATGGCTTTTGGCGACTCCTGCAAGTCCTCCAGGCCTGCGTATGAAAGGAATGTACTCAACAATGATTTGGATTTGTGATACAGAGCAAATCCAAAGAGGCTGTTCTTCAGTTCTGCTTTAGACCACCAAATATTAGGTCACCTGCTCTTCCCAGCCAGTCAAGGGCTGGTGGACAGCCCCTGTTTTCTTCACAGCACCCCAACTATGGCAGCACTCAGGCTCCCTTGGTGCACCAGCCTCAGTACAGGTAGGTAGCAGTGTAAACTGGACTTGCTGTGGGACCTTGGCATTTTTTTTGTTTATAAACATGCCATCTGGGTGCTGAAGGAGTATAAAGTTCACTGAAAGATACAGAAATACTTGCATTGTAGAGGGGTTTTTAGTTTTTTGTTTTCTTTTTACTAATGCCACTGTGACAGTTCAGTGAAAATCTGCATGTCACTCACTCACACATCTGCATGGCTTTTGACATGACTCCATTCCCTTGCTCCTAAAAGGGAAATGAAGAACCTCATCACTGAGAAGGAATGAGATCTGTCCTCCCCCTGACCCAGGGCATCATCTTTCTTTCCTCATTGGTGTTTTTGTCTCACAGCGGTGCTGTGCAATCGCGTGTTTTGGTCTTGCTGGTATTGTCACTGCTGCCTAGGCAGTGAACTGCAACACCCAAAGTATGATCCCTTTCTAGTAGGTGTTGTAGTGCAGGAGTGATTACAGGGTTTCTTAATGGGATTTTCAAAGAAGTTTTATTACATTGTAGTTGAGCATGCATGTGTTTGAAAAGTTTCAGTTAGTCACTAGAACAATTTTTAAGATCACTAAGTATTCCTTGCAAAACATTTGCCTGAAATGCAGCTACTCTTTTCTCACCAGTCCTTCACACTGCGATTTCTCGAACCATACCACAAATTACAGAGCTGGGAGAAGGTATCTACTCTGGCTCCCAGCCTGTTGCTCCCTCACAACCAAGTCCATCTTCACCTGAGATTTGAGCTTTATGGACTTCCCTGCCATCATGTTATTTCAGTTGTTCCTCTGTAGGAAATCTGTAATACCCAAATAACTACTGCCTTCATGGTAATTAACAAGTTTTAATTACCAGTTTTCTGTAGCTGCTCTTGTTAGGTCTTTTCCTTAATAACATCGTTCATTTATGTGCATAGAAAAAATAGAAAGAAAAGCAAAACATTAGAACACAAGTCTACTGATTCTCCTGTTCAAAAAACAAAAAAAATTAGTGAAAAAGGAGAGCACTCCCACCATACTACTTTGCCTAACTGGGAAGATATCCACTCTTATATGCTAATGTGTTGAGTTTATAAGTTTCAGCTGTGGGGTTCAAAAATGGTTGGGTTTTTATTACTGTAAAACACACTCATCTATATAGAATTAAGAAGAAAATTAAATGGTTGTGTCAGAGTCATGGTTACACAGCAGTATTTCTGTACAAGTTGGTTGTGATCCCCTTCAAGGTCAACTTGTTGATTCAGTAACCAAGTATCAATAGGGGAGAAAAATTTATCTTCAGCTGTTAATCCACAGGATCTGTCCTTTACCAGCTCAGCAGTCTCATTTAGACAAAGAAGGCTGGTTTGCCTCTGCCTCGCCAAGCCACACTAAGCAGCTATGTAAAATGAATTTAAATGGCATGCATCAGAATAAAATCACTTCCACTGGGGCACAAAATCAATGTTCGTTAATCAGGGCTGGATGATCAAGATCTGAGTGTCAGCCAGTTATAGCTAGGTATCATCCTCAGTGCAGACCATCACCCTTTTCATTAGAGAAGATAAAAATCATATAAATAAAAGAGTGGTGGCTGTGGAAGATACTAGGTCTACACCATTTGAATTAGCCTTTGACCTCATCTTGAGGCCTGCTTTATGTTAAGCTTAGCTTAATTTCTACAGCTACATAATTACCTTCCCTGTAACCTAAAATCTTGTGTTGTGCCAGTCTGTCTTGTGCAGGCAAACCAGTGTTTCCCAAATAATATTGAACTAGTCAGGCTAAAGAAAGGTGTTTTAAAGACCTCTTCATTGAACCTCTTCATTGTTTCATAGTACCCAGGGTGTTTAAACTTGCTCTGGGTAACCGTTTACAGCAGGCAATGTTAAATAACTCTCTAAGACCCTATGTAGTAATTCACTTTATTTTCAGGAAGACAGTGTAAAGAAAGTGCAAAGCAGTGTTTCCGTTTTTATATTTATCTTAGTCTCAGCATAAGTAGTTAGGACTAGCATTGAGTAGTTAGGACTAGATGTTGAAGACCTAACATATCCATGGAAGAAAAGACTCTTCTTAACTTAGGCTGACACTGACTGAGACCCCAATGGTGGTTCTGCTGCTGGAGACTAGAACCCAGTGGAGGCCTTCAAGAACCAGGTGGCTCCAGAAGATGAAGTCTTTTATCACGCTGTGATTCTTGGAGCAGTGCATGTATTTATAGTGATAGATAAATGTTTCTGTTTGTACAAACCCACAACACAGTAAACCTTAAGGAAAAACAAACAATTTTAAGCAAATGAGATAGTGTTTTTCTCTGTTGATGTCAAAGGCAGCAAATTTAGCCAGTATCTTCTAGTACCAACCAATTTTAAGTTTCTCACTTTGTGGATGCTCAGCGTGAAGCTTTTCAAGGACTATGTGTGCACTGTCTGTGAGCTTTTGTTTCCTATAGCAAATGCCCAGTACAGACTTTTGAAAATTGATTATTGACACCTGAAGTCAACAGATGTTTTCAGAGCTAGATGCTTGTCACCATCATTTTCAGCATCTCTCATGCTAGCAGTGTCATTCTGAGTATGTCTTCTTAGCATTTGGAAGTGTGACTGTAGTATATGGAGAGGTAAAGACATAGTTGCAAAATAGCTGTCTTGTATACTATTAGCAGTGTGGCCTTAGAAGATGTAATTCAGTGCTAGCTGGCTGTAAAATGCGCATCCAACTGGATGCTGAAATGAGCTTTTTGCTGGTGCAACTGCAGTTATCAATACCTGAACTAATGACAATAAAATGAGTTTCGATGTGCATACATGAGAAGCAGCCCTATCTTTGAAGGCAGTCTCTTTAACCTCAGTGTACCTTAACATGATTCTCAGGATTGCGTGTTGCAATTTTGTAAATTAAAGCAATTTTTTTTATAGATTGAATGAATTTAGAATTCAGTGTCGCTGATTTTAGAGGA